CCCTCCCGCTAAAAACAGCAGAAAGCGGAGCCACAAAGAACCTCTTGTTGAAAACAATCAACAAAAAACCTTTAATAAACTTACTGGAGGCAAAGCAAACACATCTCTTCCACAATTTTAGTCAAGTGCTCTTTTCAAATATCCATGGAATACAGGCAGTCCTCGACTTATGACCACAACTGAACCCAACATTTCAGTTACTAAGGGAGACATTTTGTTAAGTTTTGACCCATTTTATGACCTTCCTGCCGCAGTTGTGAAACAAATCACTGCAGTTGTTAAGTTAGTAACACGGTCCTTAAATGAATCTGGCTCCCTTGCTTGTCAGAAGGTCACAAAAGGGGATCGCGTGACTCCGGGACACTGCAACCGTCATAAATACGAGTCAGTTGCCAAGCGTCTGAATTTTGATCATGTGACCCTGGAGATGCTGCCATGGTCGTAAATGTGAAAAACGGTCCGTTTTCAGCTCTGTTGTAACTTTGAATGGTCGCTAAATGAACGGTTGTAAGTCGAGGACTACCTATTCTGTATGTTAAAACTGTACAAAAAAAGGAGAAATCTAGGTTGCCTCCATGGGGATGAAACAGAGTCTGCATCGTGAAGGCCCTCAAAATGTTTATTGTGGTGGTTTTGGGTCTGTGGCTAGCAGGATATGCAAATGAACCTGCCTAATTCAGTCCAGTGGATTTTTTCATGCTTACCACAGATAAAACTTCATTAACTGATCAAATTTTCTCCTAGTTTAGACTTCCATATTTAACCTGCTCCTGCTTTCAATTGTCATTCTATTTTCTAAGCTTTGCTTTTTTAACACAACCGTATTTAGATTTTTTTTTTTAAAAACTCAAAAGGTAAAAAAATTGATAGACACTAATAATTAGGAAAAAAAATAAGGAAAGAAAGAGAAAATGAGGCCAAAAGTGCAGAAATAACAAAAAAAGAGATATCAACAAATGATTTCTGATTGTCTTTTACAACAACTTTCTTTTTTGGCACAGTTGTTAAGTGAATCATCTGGCTATTAAGTGAATCTGGCCTTCCACATTGACTTTGCTTGTTGGAAGCTGGCTGGAAAGGTTGCAAATGATGATCACGTGACTCCGGGACCGTGCAACTGTCATAAGTACGTGCCAGTTGCCAAGCACTTAAATTTTGATCATGTGACTGTGGGGATGCTGTGACAGTTTTAAGTTGGAAAGCTTTAAATTGGCACCAGACTAGACAGCAGGAGGTGGTGAGTTCAAGTGCTGCCTTAGCCATGAAAGCCAGCTGTGTAACTTTAGACCATTCACTTTCTCGCTGCCCAACCCACCTCACAGGGCTGTTGTTGTAGGGAAAATAGCAGAAGGAAGGTGCTTCGGATTTGCTTACCGCCATGAGTTATTTGTAAAAATAATAAAATCGAGATACAAATTGAATAAATAATAAGTGCAAGGACCAATTATAAGTCACTTTTTTCAGTGCCATTATAATTTCAAACGGCCGCTAAATGAATGGTTGTAAGTTGAGGACTACCTGTAGGCAAGTTAAAAAGTTTCAAGAAGGAGGAAATGGGGATTCTGTCTCTCTTCCCAGTCTCTGCTTCATCCTATCAACCAGGGCCAACACCCCCCCCCCAATTCTCCAAGAAACAACTTCTCATCACAGTTGTTTTCCAGGGCTCTCTAAATTTGGCAATTTTAAGACTTGTGGATTTTGGCAAAGAAATATTGGAGTAGGATTCATATATTAACGGAGAAAATTCTTAAAGTGAACATAAAGATTTAAACCAAAAACTTTCCTTCTGGGCCTAATGGAAAGAGAACTGGAAAAAAATTGGAACTCTGATTTTATATATGGCGATGGCAGCAAGATTGCTCTATGCACAAAAATGGAAGGAGGCCTCAATTCCCACCATGGATGAATGGTTGCAAAAGCTGATGGAATTAGCAGAGGTGGCCAAATTGACTGTGCTGATAAAAGAAAAGAACATAAGAACTTTTGTTTCTACTTGGAAGCCGCTTCTGGACTTTGTGCTCGAGGTGGGAAAAAAATGATGTTACAATTTTGGGGTTTACCGATTAGACTGATTTGCCGATACAGAAATGGCTAGAGCATACTACTATAGAACTGTAAAAAGTTGAGATTTGATTTTAATGTCTGATTTTGCTGCAACGGAGAAGAGTCGGAAGTCAATGCCTTTTGTTTTTTCTCCTCCCTATCTTCACACCTTTTTTGTTTTCCCTCTGTCTACTATTGTCCCCTACTATTTGCTTTTTGTATTTTCACATTTTATGTTATAAATGAATAAAACCTAATAATAATAAAAAAGACTTGTGAATTTTAGCATCCGGAATTCTGGAAGTTGAAGTCCACAGGTCTTAAAGTTGCCAACCTTGGAGACCCCTGCTTTGTGCCGTGGGGCGAAACCACGTTGTTCCCCCAGGGGTCAGCAAAATACAACAATTGCCTCTTAAGTAAGCAATCCAGAGTTTTACCTTTTTGCAATCAGCTTGCACTGCTGGAGGCAACCATTTTTGGATACATGGCAGACAGCTCTCTAATTAATAATAATAATAATAATAATAATAATAATAATAATAATAATAATAATAATAATAATAATAATAATAATAATAATAATAATAATAATAATAATAATAATGTTGGAAGGGACCTTGGAGGTCATCTAGTCCAACCCCCTGCTCAGGCAGGAAACCCTATACCATTTCGGATAAATGGCTGTCCAGTCTCTTCTTAAAAACTTCCAGTGTTGGAGCATTCACAACTTCTGGAGGCAGGTTGTTCCACTGGTTAATTGTTCTAACTGTCAGGAAGTTTCTCCTTAGTTCTAGGTTGCTTCTCTTTGGTTAGTTTCCATCCGTTGCTTCTTGTCCTGCCTTCAGGGGCTTTGGAGAATAGCTTGACTCCCTCTTCTTTGTGGCAGCCCCTGAGATATTGGAAGACTGCTATCATGTCTCCCCTCGTCCTTCTCTTCGTTAAACTAGACATACCCAATGCCAGCAGCCGTTCCTTATATGCTTTAGCCTCCAGTCCCCTAATTGCCCAGACAACCTTTTGAAATAGTAACACATGGAAGATTTCATTAAACACATATCTATTTAGGGGGGGGATACACTGTATTAAGGGAATATTCTCCTTGTAATAAGAAAAATAGGAAAAGGCCAAAAGAAGCAACTTTTCTTTAAAAAAAAGTAGAAGAAAGCCAGTTACTCAAATTCTGGGTGGTGCTAATTCTTCTGGAGATTTGGGCCACCAAGAAAGCAGTCTCACCTCTATTAACCCTAAATGACTCACAGAACATAGAATCACAGGATTGGAAGGGACCTTGGAGGTCTTCTAGTCTAACCCGCTGTCCATGGCAGGAGTTCTTATATCATTCATACCACATTCATTCAGACCCAAAATGATCAACCCAAATGCTGCCTACAAAATCAACCAACTGGAGCAGTGTTTCTCAACTTTGCCAGCTTTAAGATGTGTTGACTTCAGCTCCCGGAATTCCCCAGCCAGCTGGATTGACAGCTTTTCAATTTTCTACCTGCACAGGGAGTTCTCGACTTGTGACCACAATTGAGCTCAAAATTTCTATTGCTAAGTGAGACATTTGTTAAGTGAATCTTGCCCCATTTTGCGACCTTTCTTGCCACAGCTGTTAAGCGAATCACTGCAGATGTTAAGTTAGTAACACAGTTGTTAAGTGAATCTGGCTTCCCCATTGACTTGGCTTGTCAAGAAGATCACAAAAGGCAATCACATGACCCTGGGACACTATCACCATCATGAATGTGAGTCAGTTGCAAAGCATCTGGATTTTGATCACATGCTCATGGGGATGCTGCTGTGGGAAGTCAGCCCCCCCAGAGAAGGAAATATTAAAAGGGCAGGAAAATATATTTCCTCAAAGGATCTTAAAGAGGCAGAAAAGCATGCCCAGTTTTTTCTATTATCGGGGGTCCAGAGGGAGGGGGTTCGTCTTTAGTCGAGACATCTTTACGTCTACATTTATTAGGTAAGTCCTTCCAACCGCCGGAGGTCGATCTTCGAATCCTTCACAAAGACACCTAAAATCTACATACCCCACCCAAACTCTAGGACAGGACATAATAGGATTAACACAGAGATACCAAAGGGCACACTCAGACTCAGGTCAAAGTCCATGCCACAGGAAATACTACAAACAAAAGGCTCCAGAGGGTATAAATACCCACTCCCTACATGTGCTCCCTCTCTTTTCTGCCAGGGCCATCTTTCTGTCTGCCTCTCCTCTTCAATAAACTGCAACCTTCTTCCTAAAGCAGTCGCCATGTTTATTCCCAGCTTGGACTGAACCACGATGAAGACTTTTATTTCAACACTGCAAAGGTTGTAACTGTGAAAAAATGGTCATAAATCACTTTTTTCGGGGCCGTTGCAACTTTGAATGGTCACTGAATGAATAAGTCGAGGACTACCTCTATGAAACTCCAATGAGCACACATACCAGTCTTTGCTTGCAACAGGCCGCAAACGTCACTCATGATCTACTAGAATATTTTAGGTGCTTACTCTAATAATACCTCCCCTGTTGCTTTCTTTGGAAATCGGGCATTCTGCATTTGCTTTCTGCTTCGTTTATAAATAGATCCACTGTAGGGAAGGGAGGATTGTTAGTTCCCGGGTCTCATGCCAATCTAAGTGAGAAGTTGGCTCTTTGTCATGGGTTGGGTGTCAGCCTTGCGATAGAAGCTCCAAGCTGGGTCGTGTTTCTGCCTCAACTCCATTGGCCAAAGAGGATCAGATGAACACAGCCGTCAGGTCCAAGGAGGAGGGAGAAGTGTGAGTGAAAGGGCAATTGGACAGGAAGGCCTTGACCCAGCAAAGACAGTGACCAGCCACAGGGAAGAACTCAAGGTCTCCATTAAAGACACCTTCTGCCAGACAAAAGTCTTTGGCGTCCTGGGTTTCAGGAATGAATCCCAGGTGGAGAATTACTCAACTGGTGGCCCAGACAAGAAATTTTGCTACAGAAGCAGCTGGCCACGAAGAAGGATCTAGTGGTAAGTGAACTCAATAATTGCTACTACTGTAGTAGTAGACTACTACTGTTACTACTACCAAAACTGACAATAACTCCAGCAATACCTGGGGACAGCAGAATCAAGGAAGAATAGGGGTGGGGGAGATATAATTGGAAGGCCTGATATGTAGAGATTCCTTGATACATGGCTGGAGGTTGAATTTCCCACAACAGCAGTCAAAATGAGATTCCTTTGTTTGTTACTTGTACTGTGTTATTCCTTGATGTACAAAAACTAATAACAGTAATGGAAAAATTGTGTACCTCCTGGGGAACACATCCCCGTTTCATTTGTGCTTTTCATTTAAGGAGAAACAATACACACTTTTAATACTGATGCTGAAAAACCCTCTATTTTCCCGTAGAATCTGTCCATTATGTCCATAACAGGTTGTCCTCTGCTTCCCAAACTCTCTTCTGCCAGCATTTTACTTAAGCAGAGCTCTCTGCCTTTTATTTCATTTAAAATTACTTTAAGGTTTAAAGAAGAAAATAAATGATTAAATAAAAGAAAAAAGAAGGATTAAACAAGATCGCTATTATTAACAAACATGCTGCAATCCTGCAAGATAAAATGGTTGTGTTGATAGGTGTCAATGATAGTGTTTCCACTGAAATACATTTTAATTATTTAATCACTGAGTGTTTTTAAGATTAGCTGGAATGCAACATCGATTGCTTGGCCTAGCATTTGTCTCCTAAGAAAGCGTTTCGGCTTTTGACGTGTTGTCCCACAAAGAAAGGACAACACAAGTGACCTTGAGAATATCTTTTGCCTGTTTCTTCAGAACCAACAATTTAGTGACTCAAGTTACACTAGGAGGCTGTTAGCCAGAGAAAGCCCTAGTCCCAGTGGTGGGACTCAGCCAGTTCGCACCACTTCGGCAGAACCAGTAGTTAATTTTTTTGTTGCCCAGGCCCAGAACGGACTTCCGGAAGCGGCATCCACACAGAGAACCGGTTGTTCATATATTTGAATCCCATCGCTGCCTGGTTCTATTTTTTAAGGGGCAACTTAGCATCCTCTGCCTTGCACCCTTGATTATTCCGTCTTTCCCTTCTGCATATCAGCTCGGTTATGGAAGATTTTAAGCTTTGTGGTGGCGCTTCCTTCAGTGGGCATCTGCTGGCTGAACGTGCAGCTGAGAAAGAGAGAACACTCCCACGAACGTCCTGAGTTCATCCCATATCCCCACCTGAGGATTCGGACAAAGGTAAAAATGTAGCAGGAGAGGGAATCGAAGCACTTAGGCCAGGGGCGAGGCTGGCTCAGGAATTCTGGGAGTTAAAGTCCACAAGTCGTAAAAGAGCCAAGGTTCCCCGCCCCTGAGTTAGGCCCTTCATCTAGATTTGTGAAGGATTTCTTGCTTCTGAAGCTAATAATATAATCAAGAGTAGATCTTTTCCCTAATTATCCAGTCCCCCAAAATTAAGTTGGCAACAACCTTTTGGATCTAAAGCTTTATAATCCACATTGAGCACTGAAATCAGTCTGTAGTTCTTAATCTGGGTCAAATCGGAGTCTTCTTTGGGTATTAGAGTAATATTTGCTTTCATCCATGTAGATGGGAGTCTAGCTTCTAATAAAAGTCCATTAGAAAAATCTTTCAGCAGTTCACTGTCTTAGTATCTCTTGGAGATTCTTATATAACTCCACCGGAAGGCCATCTGGACCCGGTGTTTTCCCATTTTTTTGTCTTTTTATGGCCTCTGATATTTCCATCATTGTGAGTCTTTCATCTAACATAGTTTTGAATGTCTCTGAGATTCTGGGAGTCATTCTACAAACGGCTAGAGGAAAGAACCAAGGATTAGGAATTGATTATGTATTAGCGCTTTTGAATCCAGACAGCACGCTGGTTGAAAAATTAATACATGTATGTAAGAGAAAAACTAAAAACTTATAGTATTAAGCGAATACTCTTTTATTTTTCTGGGTGAGCTGAATTTTTATATACAGGTAGTTCTTGACTTACAATCACAATTAAGCCCAGAATGAAGCCCACTGCTAAACAAAGCAGTTGCTAAGTGAATTTTGCCCAGTTTTATAATATTTTTTTTGCCACAGTTGTTAAGTGAATCATTGCAGTTCTTAAATGAATCATGCGGTCCTTAAGCGAATCTGGTTTTCCCCAGTGATTTTGCTTGTTGGAAGCTGACTGGGAAGATGGGAAATGGTGGTCACATGACCCCAGGACAGTAGAACAGTCATAAGTACATGCCAGTTGCCAAGCGCCTGAATTTTGATCTCGTGACCATGGGGATGCTGCAACGGTCGTTAAGTGTGAAAACTGATCACAAGTCACTTTTTTCAGTGCTATGTAACTTTGAATGGACACTAAATGAATGGCCATAATTCGAGAACTACCAGTACTTAATTGCTGGCTACGTTATGATGGGTTTTTGGTTAAAGTTCTGATATTTAAGCAATTGTTGATAAGAGGAAATAACTACCTATACTAAGATCCAGAGGCAAGTTCAAGTTGGTGGATTTGTGGTACAATGTTCATGAAGGATTATTTTTTAAAAAAGTCAAGATGGTGGCCATGGCCTGCCATTGAAGCCCCGCCCCTTCTAGAATATTCTAGAACAGGGCTTTTCAACCAGTGGTACGGGTACCACCTGTGGTACATTGGCACCTGGTAGGTGGTACGCGACCATCCTAGAAAAGTGGTAGCAGGGGAGGGGAATGAGCTGAACCGGTGGCAGCACCGCACAAGCCTGAGCGAGAGATGGCTGGAGCTGCAGGGCTGTCAGGGCTCAGTGGAAGCGCCAGGATCAGCGCCAGGCTCCAGCTGGAGCTCAGCACTGATCCTGGCGCTTCTGCTGAGCCCAGAAGAAGCGCCGATCAGCTGGAATGTTGCTCGTAGAGGTCCCAGAACACTAAATGTAAGTCTACGAACCGTTGACTAAGTATAAATACTGCCAGTGTCACAGGGTCCCAGTACACTTCACTGGTTTTGGACGACGTTGGTGGGTCGTCTGCCCCCCTTATTTTTGGTAACACCCCCCCACCCCACCCCCGCTGCCAATCCTCAACAGAAATGCTCACAACAATGAAAATCTCGGACAGGAGGAAGAGCACCGCCAGGCGGGCAGGCAGGTGTCTTGCTCGGCTGTGGCTTGGGGTGCACTTCTTTCAGTGCCATTGTAACTTCGAACAGTCACTAAGCGAACTGTTGTAAGTTGAGGACTATCTGTACTTTATCACTTTTTCCTTTTTGGGGGGGGGGTCATCAAGTTTTTGACCCCTTGCTAGGCGACTGGTGGTACTCGGATATTGCCATATCCTAAAAGTGGTACAATGGGTGAACAGGTTGAAAAGCCCTGTTCTAGAATATCACATGCACGGCATCCATTAAAAGAGGTGGGACTCCCATCATGTCATCATGGCTATTATCTTAACTCTCCTGACCTCCCCACCTTAGCCATCCTGATGTGTCACCCCGAAGAGCTTTCTTTCTGCATTCCTTTTTTCTCTTATTTATTTTAGGCTTATCCATGGGGCGATGGAAATCATAGCCTCTTTCACAATCCCCACACCAACGCACTACCCACCGGCTATGAAGATGTGGACAGCCACCGCTGAGACCCTCTTAACATTTCTTCTTCTTCTTCTAACCAGCTTCCTCTCCTAGCGAGGACATAGGGTTATGGGTGTTTAATGCATCTTTGAGACAGATGTCTATCTATGGAGTCAATAAAATGCATTTCAATGAGCATAGCACATTCCTGTTATTACGTATGTTATTAGGGATAGTGCTACCAAACGGCCAGATTTTGAATACAAAAGGGAACTTATCCAGATTCTGCTGAAGAAGCTGCAAGATCCCTTTCAAACAGAAACTTGATTGCTACTAAAAATACTAGGGCTTCGGGCCACTTCCATTTCCATTCTGTTTCTATGTGCCGATTCTTTGCAAACCACTGCAAAGTCCACTTTTATTTATTTCTTTTGACCACAAAGGCAGAGAAGATAAGGTGTCAGTCTCCTGTTCTTCAGATGACTAATGGGAGAGATGCAAAGTGAAGTTTTACACGTTGTCCTGTCCCAGACTGAAAAAAGCAGTGGTGTCACACATGCCTTATGAACTCATGCAGTTCCTCCTTTCTTTAACGTAAAGTTTGATTTTGCTCCTCACCAGAATCAAGGGAACAGAACCTAATCCAAAATTGTTTGTTTGTTTGTTTGTTTATTTCTTTATGAAATTTATATACCGCCCATCCAACTGTTGAGCGACAATATGCATATTTTCCCACAAAACACATGCTTACAAAGGAATGCGACCTGTAATACAGTATTTCATTCATACGTTCGTGGGTTCTCCATCCACTGAGAACTTGCCGCTGGCTGATGTTTGTTAACATGACCGTACAAGTTAAATATCAAAATAGCTGTGTTTACTAGCATGCTTTATCCTTCCATTAAACCTCTTTTTACGTACTGGAAGTTGAGTCCTGGCAACTGGATTTCTTTTCTGGCTGGTTTGAAACGTTTCACTGCTCGTCCAAGTAGTTTCTTCAGTGTGAGCAAGTTGGTTAGGTGGACCCCGTAGATGTCCTCCAGAGAGGTTTCATTGTTTAATCTGGATAGGCTCCTTGGGTTAGTAGGCAGAGAGTTGTTGGGAAGTAAATGTTCCAGCTCCTCAATCCTTTAACTTAGAACAGGGGTAGGCAACCTTGGCTCTTTTATGACTCATGGACTTCAACTCCCAGAGTTCCTGAGCCAGCCATGCTGAGGGGAAAGGGAGAGGTTTCCAAGCTGAGCCAGGCTGGCTCAGGAATTCTGGGAGTTGAAGTCCACGAGTCATAAAAGAGCCAAGGTTGCCTACCCCTGCCTTAGAACATATAACCAACTTGCTTAGACTGAAGAACAGCAGCAACCATTTTGAACCAGCAAGACAACCAATCCAACTGCCCTCGCTCAACTTCCAAACGACTCCACCTGGAATTACTGAGAATTTTCATTGACATACTCACTCTTGTACAGGGATCCTTGACTTATGACCACGACTGAGCCCCAAATTTCTGTTGCTAAGTGAGACAGTTAAGGGAATTTTGCCTCATTTTACGACCCTTTCTGACCACAGTCGTTAAGTGAATCACTGCAGTTGTTAATAACACAGTTGTTAAGTCAATCTGCCTTCCCCATGGACTTTGCTTCTCGGGAAAAAGCGATCACGAGACCCCGGGGCACTGCAATCGTCATAAATATGAGTCGGTTGCCAAGCGCCTGAATTTTGATCACGTGACTATGGGGGAATGCTGCAACGGTCGTAAGTGTGATAAATGGTCGTAAGTCACTTTTTCCAATGCCGTTGTAACTTCAAACAGCCATTAAAGGTACCGTTGTAAGTCAAGGGTTACTGAACAGGGACAGACAGAAGAGTTGGTTATCCTTTGGTACTTCCGAAGACACTTTTTCAAGAGGCAACTGGACTTCCTTTGTTTTTCCTTGAAGATCTTTTGCTTCTCATCCAAGAAGCTTCTTCGTGATTTCTGATTCATTCAGAACTGAGGAAGCTTCTTGGATGAGAAGCGAAACGTCTTCAGGCAAAAAAAGCAAAGAAAGTCCAGCTGCCTTTTGAAAAAGCACCTTTGGGATAACCATGACCTGGATGACTGAGAATCTCCATAGACATTTATCCTTTGGTAGCCTCAGCAGGTGGGCTGGTCTCTGGTGGACTTCCGGCCCCCTCATTGTTTCCTGCGTCTGTCTCATCTATCATCTGCTTGTACTGCCTTTTGAAGAACCCAAGCTGGAAGGAAAAAGAAAGAACATTCAGTTGAGCATTGAGTAATGATGGCTACACATTAGATAGACGCCCGATCTGAAAAGGTACACAATCTAGAGCAGTGGTGGCGAACCTATGGCACGCGTGCCAGAGGCAGCACTCGGAGTCCACTCTGTGGGCACACGTGCCGTTGCCCCAGCCTCGACTCCCCCCACGACCCCCTCCTCACCAGCAGCCCCCCTGGAGGAGAGTCGCCCCCCGAGTGTGGCCCACGCGGAGCAGCACAGCCAAGGACCTGGCAGCCAGGCAGCGTAGACAAGACTCTGCCCTCACGCCCCATCACGCACAGTTGATGCTGCAGGGCACGGGCAGAGGGCATGGCCGCCATGGCGCTGCTGGGCTACCTGGGCGATCTGCAGCAGGTCCTGGAGGCAGTGAGTGGCCCTGGGGGCATGTGGGGTGGGGGCAGAGCAGGGGCGGAGCAGGAATGAGGCGGGGGCAGGGGCGGGGGCAGTTTTTGGGCACTCAGTCTCTGAAAGGTTTGCCATCACTGATCTAGAGAAATCCACAAACCAATTGGTTTATCCCTAAAGGTGCTTTTCCAAAAGGCAACTGGAGTTCCTTGGGTTTTTTTCCTTGAAAACATTTCACTTCTCATCCAAGAAGTTTCTTCAGTTCTGACTGAAAGGATTTATTTATTTTATATAAATCCTTCCATTCTGCACCATTCAATCAGAACTAAAGAAGCTTCTTGGATGAGAAGTGAAACTTTTTCAAGGGAAAAAACCCAAGGGATTCCAGTTGCCTTTTGGAAAAGCATCTTTAGGTCAACTAGGACTTAAGTGATTGAGAATATCTATAGACAATTGGTTTATTGTAAGACTGAAGGATGGACAATAATGGACATCCTTCGCTTAATTAGTAGATTTTTCTCCTCTGTTTCAGACACCTCTGCCCCTTGGTTTTAGCAGAAGCACTTTTGTTTGGGAAAAGCAATAACTTGATATGTTGTCCCATAATAGAAAGGTACGTGGGAAGGGGGAGAAAAGTTGAGATGCTGCCTATGGAACGGCCAGATAAGAGGATATAACCAGCAGTTGTATAATGCAGAAGTCCCCAACCTTTCTAGTTTGGTGGCCTGGAGGGAAGGGCAGGCACGGGGTGGCACTAGCATCTGCACGACGCTCGCTTGTGGCGGTACTAGTGTGAGTGGGGGGCATGCGCACACACACGTGCGTGCACTGGCCAGCCATTCACGCGGTCTGGGGGCCAATAGGCCACGGCCCGGTAGTGGGCCACGGCCCACAGGTTGGGGACCCATGGTATAATGGGTAAAGGAAGAAATCAGTGTCCCTAACTTCTCAGGCTATAAAAAATGACAGTGGGAGATTTGTGCCCAAACTGGCAAGATTCTGCTAATGTAGCCTTACAATAAAATAGAATTATTTCATCTGCTCGCGTTTCCCGTCTTGTCTACCTGGGAAGGCTGATACATAACTAGGATGGAAGCTGACTAGTAAAATGTTTACTGCAAGCCATTTTCTCTTTCAAGGCTTACCTTATACAGAGCCGCAACGATCAGAACAAGGAGTAGAAGACCACCCACAGCGCTGCCAATAATGATGGGCAGAGAGTTGTAGGCCTCCAAGAACTCCACTGTGGTCTTCACCTAGAGGAGGGGAAGGGCTGGATCATACAAGGGAAGCCAGAATCATTTGATCACAGCTTCCTCCCTCCGTACAGTGCTTATCCAGAGGAGCCAGAAGTTCTCATTACAATCTTTATGTCAACCTCCAGCTTCAGTATCCAAATAATAATCCAGGATTATTTTCATTTCTGAAAAGCTTACTGTTTATTGAATAAAATGATCTGGTACAGGCGAAGTAAAACTAACTCTAAAATCCCAAGGCATCATACCATAGCATAAAACAATGACTTTCCTAGCCACCACCACCCCCAGATGTCCCAGTAGTTCATGTAAACAAGTTCTTTTTGTTATGGGAACCGTCTGCTATCTTCTTCACACCTGCTAGAATGCCCTTGAAAGGGTTCTAGACGGCTGGCTCTCAGCAAACCTCTGTAGAACTGGAGAGATTTCATTTCTCTAACTCACGGCTTTTCAACCGGTGGTACGCGTACCACTAGTGGTACGTTGGCACCTGGCAGATGGTACGCATACAACGGGTTGAACAGCACTGTAAAAAAAATGTTAAAAAAAAAGTGTAAAAGTGGATGAGGTGAAGCGGCAGCAGCGCCGCACAGGCTTGTGGGAAAGTCAGCTGGAACTGCACGTTGCCTGGGTCCTACTGAGAGCCCAGGATCAAAGCGCACAGCTCCAGATGATTGCTGGCGGCCTGGGGGTGGCAGGCAGCCTCACGCAGTCTTCAGGTGGAGATTCAGCTGGACCTGCACGACGCATTGCCTGGGTCCTGCTGAGAGCCCAGGATCGGCGCGCGCAGCTCCAGCTGATTGGGGTGGCAGGCGGCCTCATGCAGTCTTCAGGCAGAGATTCAGCTGGAGCTGCGCAAGGCATTGCCTAGGTCTTGCTGAAGGGGAGAGAAGAGAGGATATTAAAGGGGGTGAGAGAAGAGTGGATATTAAAGGGGGTGAGGACTACCTGTACTTTATCACTTTTTTCCATTTTTTGGGTCATCAAGTTTTTGACACCTTGCTAGGCAACTAGTGGTACTTGACTATTGCCATATTCCAAAAGTGGTACAATCGGTGAAAAGTTGAAAAGCCCTGCTCTAACTAACCCATTTGAAAGCAACACCTCCCCGCCTTACTCTAATGGCAAGAAGACAAAAGAGGAGCATGCAGCTGCCAAACTTTCACTCTTGACAATTTAGTGATACCTTGGAGGAGAGGAGTCATTACCTGGTCCTGCACGAATCCCTCTTTCTGCTTGTATTTGCTCTCATCATAGGAAACTTGGGCAGAGCTCACTAGAGTCACCTTCTTCTGCTGGGTCTGGGAGAAGACATAAACAGCCTCAGAGGTGGGGAAGCTGGTTGCTTGAAAGGCTGCCCCAGAGAGGGAAGGGCAAGAATTACAGGTAGACCTTGACTTACAACCTCAATTGAGCCCAAAATTTCTGTTGCTAAGCAAGACACTTGTTAAGTAAGTTTTGCCCCGTTTTACGACCTTTCAGTTGTTAAGTGAATCCCTACAGTTGTTAAGTCAGCAAAATGGTTTGTCATGGTTTCAACAGATGAAACTCTTCAAAAGAACTTTGAGGCATTGTTTACCTTAAACAATATTTTATTCGAGAAACAAAGTTTCAGCACTACATAGTCTAAACCAAAAACTAAATTCCCACCCCCCAAATACAAAGTATCAAAGCACAATTCCCTCCTCAAATAAACAGTCCTAAATCACATTCCCCAATTACCTTGAAGCGCAGGCCTCCTCTCCAGTTCTCCAACCCGCCAATTCCTTATCAGCTCTGGTTACAATAACCTTGTTTCTCACACTAGGTCTAGTGTTGTTATGTCTAGCTGAACTCTCGTTCACATCCCCCCTCCCAACATCATCTAACTCTAAAAGCAAAAGGTAAAAGATGGCTACATTTCCCTTTGTTGTCAATGCAAAAACATCCGATGTTAGCAGTGTGGACACGGTTGTTAAGTGAATCTGGCTTCCCCATTGACGTTGCTGGTCAGAACGTTGCAAAAGGTGATCACATAACCCTGGGACACGGCAACTGTCATAAATATGAGTCAGTTGCCAACGGTCTGAATTTTGACCACGTGACCATGAGGATGCTGCAACGGTCATAGGTGTGAAAAATGGTCATAACTCATTTTTTTCAGTCCTGTTGTAACTTTGAATAGTCTCTAAATGAACTGTTGTAAGTTGAGGACTAACTGAACTGGTGTTAATGGAAATGTTATTTGTAGACACAGACATGCCAGTGGCCATTGGCCTATCTTCATTGGCCAAATCCCATCCAGCTACCAAAATATATATGAAAAAAAATCCTATGAATTATCTGTCAACGCTGCTAACATTGGATGATCTTGCTCTGACAAAATATGCAGAGCTGTGTGGTATTTTTAGAGTTAACTCAGAAGACGCTGGGAGGGGAGGAGAAAGAATGTATGTGGGTAATTACATTAGATAGAAATCCCGCGCTGTAAACGGAAGAGAACCTTTACCCTTCAACCTGATAGGAGAACGTGATTTATGACAGCAGATTGAGGGAGGGAACATGCTGACAAAATATGTGCTCAGGGGAGGAGAATTTAGATCTTAGCATCCCTCTTCATGCCGTGCCGACATTTTGTTACATGAATAAAAGACTTTTTAGGATAAACAATGCCTGGAAGTTCTTTGAAGTGTTTCATTAGTCAGAACCTTGACATTATCATTTCTTGATGGTGACAATAATTCTGTGGGACAGTTCTCACCATTATACATTACAGAGCTATTCCATATACAGGGGATTTTGGTCTGAAATCAGCATTGTGCTCCTATGTCCCTATGATGTTTTGGCCTTTCTGTTGGTCTCCACAATCTAAGTCCCAGGGGTCCCTAACCTGTGGGTCGCGGCCCACCACTAGGCTGTGGCCTATTTGCAACCAGGCCAGAAGCGCCAGTGCTCGCAGCCACACTCGCGCAAGCAGTGTCCCAAAGGTTTCTCTCTTGCGTGAGTGGAGCTGTACGTACAGGTGCACTGGCCCACCACTTGCACAGCTCAGTTCCCTCTCCTCCCCCCACCAGCCAGGCCGCCAAGCCGCAAAGGTTGGGGACTACTGATCTAAGCCGAAGAACGTTTGGGTCAACAGTTCCTCCACAGGAAAGATAATTTTTCAGGATTTCTTCTAAAGCTGAGAAGTAGACAACTTCCCACTAGCTTTGTCCTATTTCCCAGCTTCCCAGGAAGCAAAGGTATTGTGGTGTCTTCCAGGGCTTTTTTTGAGCCTCTTTTCCACCGCCTTGAGTTTGGACCGGTGCGGGAGTAGTTTGGGATCCTGGCGGGGAAATCTCTTGTCCTTACGTTCATTTTAAACCCTCCCCGATAAAGGCCACACCCTCCCCGATAAAGGTCACGCCGGCCGGGCCTTTTTCCACGGCCTTGCGCCAAGGCGGCGCAAGGCCGACTAAAAAAGCCCTGGTGTCTTCACTTATCCTTCCTTATTGCTTTGATGGTAGGCTTTACCACTTCCGTGTACTGGCCAGTTGTTTTTGTCTTTTGTTGCCTCACCACAAATAGTCAACATAACGAAGGAAAAATGAAGATGAGACCTAAAAGCCATCTGTATTTTTGTATCATGGACTACATAGAGGCAGCACTGGTCAGCTCAATGGAAAGATGAAGTCAACATGCTGAAGGAAAAAGAGAATGAGAACCAAGAAACACCTGTGTTTCTCTATCATGGGCCAGATTGTGGTAGCTCTGGTCAACTCTGTGTGCAGAATTAGGGAATACATATGGTGGTGAAGTCAATGCATATGCCCTTAATGCAAACATACTCTAAGATGTAGCTGGTTTTCTATAGATGCGATGGTGTATTATTATACCACAAAAGGCACTTTCCTGTCCTGCTTTCTAGCCCAATAAAGCCCCAGAAAATGCCTCCATACCTGGGAAAGCCAACTGAAGCCAATGTCCCCATTGATGTTGAACTCAATAGGTTGATGGAGCTCCAAGGATGGAACATTGCAAGTGATTGTTTTACAGGTGGCTACAGAGCAGTCCTGGAAGACACAGAAGAACATTGTCAAGTCTGGTTGTAGGAACGTATACGGATTTCCTGTGACCACGGGGGCCGACCGTGAGGTCACCATTTATCCAGATCCCCTGAGTCCATCTGCTTTTTTTCAAAGGAGACTTTCTGGCAATAGCACCAGGTATACTCACCAAAACAGGTTGTTTGCTTAGTTGCTTCACAAACTCTTTGGATCCTGGAGTGTTTGTTCCAGGAACACAAACGACCTGGGAGAGCTGATGGACAAAAGAAAGGAACAATCACAAAATCAGGAGGCATTATAAGAGGCCCCATTTCTGAGCTTGAAGAACAAGTCATGGAAGAGCTTTAATCTTGCATTGTTTATCTTTTCAACCCTGAATATCTTAGAGCAGGGGTAACTTTCCCAAGGGGCCACGTGAGAAACTGGAACTGTTATGGAGGGCTGAACCAATCGGCTGAACCTAATTCTGCTCAATATTAATTTTATCACGTTATAAAAAGGGGTGATTTACATGGTTTTGATTCGCTGCACCAAATTTATATTTACTTTCTAATTTCCAATTGACCTCATGCAGGCCGGACAGGGACAGCCAAAGGGTGTAAATGACCTGCAAATGCCCAGGTCTGCATTAGAGTTAAATGGGGATGTTGCATTGAGGTTTAGGGCACATCCAATAGGTATTTTACATAAGTCTCCTTAGTATACTGAGAGTTAACGAAGGGAGGGAACAAAAAGAGTTACTTGAAAGCATCTATCCTACTTTCATGGTGGTGGTAAGTTCTCACCAATCTCTATTCAATTATGTGAGCACGGAGCAAAGATTTCTGAAAAACATTTCTCTTCTTGGATCCGAGAAATCAACCAGCTTATTTATCAATTTATCTTTGGCAAAGGCCATCTAGATATTCCTGGGGAACTGGCAAGGATTGATTAGGTCACGTTGTTTCTTCTCAGCTTGTACTCAAAGACACTTCCTCTAAACAAGAAAGTTCTGTTTATTGCTCATGGCCACTGGCCTGGTTATCCCCCTTGAATTGTGTCTCCATCTTAATCCCTGACTAAATGTTGACATGGACAAGAATTCCGAATTTATATGTTCCAGAAAAAGATGGTCGTATGTGCCAATTGGTTTCTCTTGATACTAAATGAGGTATTTCAATGAGATCTATATACCTTACAAAATAATAATTAAACTTGACTCTGAAACCTGGGCCCACCCCATTTGCAAAGTATATTCAGCCATTAACCAGATTTTTCTTTAAAATTAAGTAGCTATAATTATATACAAATATGAATTACCGACTCTTTTTTTCTTAATCATGCTTGTCTTTGCACTTAAAAAGTGGGAGAAATTAAGGAATGGGTGAAGAGGAGAAAAATCCAAGGTGACACTTCCCCCCAACTTTATCAAATTTCTAAAATGAATTTGAAATATGGGTTTGAAATATTAAAGAGTAATCTACTATTAAGGGACGAATATTTGCTTACCCGATAAGCAATCTACTGCTAACTCAATTTATACCTATTAAACATTATTTGTTTTTCAAATAACTTGAACGCTTTGGGCCAAATAAACATCAAAATAATATTTCGGAAATGCCTAAAGTAACCTCCCATCGTGCTTTTCTTCTCTTTAACCCTAACCCCACCCAACCTTTTATTGTGCAATCTGGTAATTAGTGGACAGATTTCTGGCTGTACAATTTTGCTACATCAATATTTATCTTAGTTCCATTAATCCAGGACAAGGACTTATATTCTCATCAACACAGCTCCAGAGGAAATATACCTCTTTAGGGACATCCAAGATTGCGTTCCAAATCTGTGCTCCATTCAGCGAAACAGGAATATGAAAAGTTACTGAAACAGGAACTTTTCGGTGAAATGTGTTCTTCAGCTACATTGGAAGAAAATGCCGCATAAGTGAGCGTAGACACTCAACATTCTTAGCACAAGTCAATATTTTGTTTTTCTAGGGATGGATCCCCCTTGTATCTAGACGTGGGAGGGACAATTGTGCACTTAAAATTGCTTCTTTACTTATGCTCCCATGACACCACCTTGTTCCCAGCCAATAAGTGAGACCAGCTTAAGTCCTTCTTAGCTGTATCCATGTAAGAATAGTGATCTTCTGACATTGGCCAAGGACATCTTGAAGAGAGATAAAATCTGCCACTAAATTTTGAGGGAGGTTGGAGGATTAGAATAACTGAGAATGATGGCAAGAGAAGCCAGAGAGGAATGAACAATAAACACCCTTTTTACCACCTTGTAATCTCTTATTTCGGGGTTGAGTCGGGGTGCCTGGGTGGTGCTGAGCATTTATTGACCAAATGCCCTTCCTGATGCCACCCAGAATTTGCAGCGGATATTTTTTCTTTGTGCCCTAGGAGAGAAATATCTGCTGCTACCTAGGATTGAACTCTCAACCTTCTGAGTGGGAGGCAAGATTCTTCACCACTAGGCCACCACGCCACTCATCAATGGGGATGCTAAATTTCATGGCAATATATTTTTTTCTACCAACTCAAAGATGGATGGAGAATATTTAATGATGGAGAAAACTCTCTAGAACAGGGCTTTTCAACCAGTGGTACGGGTACCATCTGTGGTAGATTTGCACCTGGCAGGTGGTACGCGACCATCCTAGAAAACTGGTAGTGGGGGAGGGGAATGAGCTGAACCGGTGGCAGCACCGCACAAGCCTGAGCGAGAGATGGCTGGAGCTGCAGGGCTGTCAGGGCTCAGTGGAAGCACCAGGATCAGTGCCAGGCTTCCGCTGGAGCTCGGCACTGATCCTGGTGCTTCTGATGAGCCCAGAAGAAGCGCCGATCAGCTGGAATGTTGCAGCATCTCCAGGGTCTTGTGATTTACATTCAGATGCTTGGCAACTGATTCATATTTATGATGGTCACAGTGTCCCAGGGTCATGTGAAGTGACCAAAACCTGCTGCAACCACCCAGCAGACGGGGGGAATAAAAACCAAATACCCCCCCCCTCCCCGTTGCCAATCCTCAACAGAAATGCTCACAATGAAAACCTCGGACAGGAGGAAGAGCGCCGCCAGGTAGGCAGGCAAGTGTCTTGCTCGGCTGTGGCTTGGGGGGCACTTTTTTCAGTGCCATTGTAACTTTGAACAGTCATTAAGTGAACTGTTGTAAGTTGAGGACTACCTGTACTTTATCACTTTTTTTCCTTTTTGGGGGGGGGGTCATCAAGTTTTTGACACCTTGCTAGGCGACTGGAGGTACTCGGATATTGCCATATCCTAAAAGTGGTACAATGGGTGAAAAGGTTGAAAAGCCCTGTTCTAGTCCAACCCCCTGGACAAATGGCTGTCCAATCTCTTCTTTAAAAAAACCTCCAGTGATGGAGCACCCACAACTTCTGGAGGCAAACATTCCATTGCTTAGTTTTGCTTACTGTCAGGAGATTTCTCCTTAGTTCTAGATACATTTTTCTTGCTTGCAAATGCTTCTCAAAGGAAGAATGCATCCGTCACTAGGTAAGTGTGCTCCGTTCTTAAATCTCCCTCCACCTTAATAAGTAAAGCCCTGTCTGTTCTAAGTTCTTGATCAGAAAGTGATCCACATCCTTTTCACCTCGTATCGATGTTCCACAGTCCGAGTTTCGTATTCCTGCCCGACAGAAAAATTAACATACTTGGTTGACTCATCCAAGCTGGAAAAAAAAATGGTGAAAGATTGTGGGGAAAAAATATGTTATGCGATTGACCCGAATTTTGAGTTAATTAAGATTACAGTTGTGTTCCAATCATTTCCTTAGCAATGTACACCGAGGAAGATGGGTGCACATAGGTGGGTGTGTAAACAATCTTTCCAACACTTCAGAGCAACCTTTTGAGAGTTGGTTAAGCAATGGGAGGTCTTCTTCTCAAATACTTGCAGCCACTTACCTATTGATGAAAACATAGATTGCATACTTGACAGGCAGCTCCATTTGATGAAACATGTCCTTTGTGACAGCAACATTATTTTCACTGGAGGGACACAAGGAAAAATGGGCAGAGCAGCAAACGTGACACACATGCATCTCTTAATTACAACCACTAAAGGCTGTGCTGTTCCCCCTCCCCCATCATATTACATTCAGTATCACCTGATATAAAAGTTAGAACCTCTTATCAATGAAGCTGTATTTATTTAAAGAACATTTGAACAACAGGATGCNCCAGATGCATTGAGGTCAATGGGATTAGTTATGGCCAGGGAAATTGCTGTCATTGGTTGAGTTTAGATGGTTTTAAAAAGAGGATCAATAGGCTGATGGAGAATTGGGGTCTCAAGGGCTATTAATATTGACAGCTGTTGACCTTCTGAATCATAGGCAGCAAATTCTAAATCTTGGTTGCTGGGAAGTGACAGTGGAAAGGAAATTCACTTTTCTGTCTAGGTCAGGGGTAGTCAACCTTGGCTCTTTTATGACTCGTGGACTTCAACTCCCAGAATTCCTGAGCCAGCTGTGCTTGCTCAGGAATTCTGGGAGTTGAAGTCCACGAGTCATAAAAGAGCCAAGGTTGACTACCCCTGTTCTAGGTTATGAACTTTCTAAATATATTCACTTGACTACAAGGTGACATAAAATATTGAACTGGATTAATGTATCTATCGAGGCTCCTCTTCTGAACTTGGTATGTTCCGAGGCTATGTTATTATACTTTGTGGAGCACAACACTTGTGGGATGACTCTAGGAAGCTCTGTACGTTGCTAGTAGAGAAATGACTGTAGACAACATGACTGCTAATCTGATTTACACAGGATAATGTTTGCATTTTAGTCATGGGAAGTTTTACCTGGCAGCTGTGGCACTGATCCGTACCACACTTCCCAGATCTGCATCTTGGGAAACAAAAAAGCTGACAATGAAGATCACCTGGACAGAAGGAGACACAAAAAAAGCAGTGGGCCCAGAATGCTTAAAGCAGAGCTGTGTCATACATTCAATCCAGTTTTATATTTCGTTAATAAACAGAAACTTTGGCCGTGAGAAACGTGGAAGCTTCTCGGCCATTTTTTCCAGCCGTCAAAGAGCTACAATCCCTAGAGCAGGGCTTTTCAACCAGTGGTACGGGTACCACCTGTGGTACATTGGCACCTGGCAGGTGGTATGCGACCATCCTAGAAAAGTGGAAGCAAGGGAGGGGAAATGAGCTGAACCAGTGGCAGCACCGCACAAGCCTGAGCGAGAGATGGCTGGAGCTGCAGGGCTGTCAGGGCTCAGTGGAAGCCCCAGGATCAGCGCCAGCCTCCAGCTGGAGCTCGGCGCTGATCCTGGTGCTTCTGCTGAGCCCTGAAGAAGCACCAATCAGCTGGAAAGCGGCACTGATCCTGGCGCTTCTGCTGAGCCCAGAAGAAGCGCCGATCAGCTGGAATGTTGCAGCATCTCCAGGGTCTTGTGATTTACATTCAGATGCTTGGCAACTGGTTCATATTTATGATGGTCACAGTGTCCCAGGTCATGTGAAGTGACCAAAACCTGCTGCAGCCACCCATCTGATGGGGGAAATAAAAACCAAACATCACCCCCACTCCACCCCCGTTGCCAATCCTCAACAGAAATGCTCACAACAATGAAAACTTCAAACAGGAGGAAGAGTGCCGCCAGGTGGGCAGGCAGGTGTCTTGCTCGGCTGTGCCTTGGGGGCACTTTTTTCAGTGCCATTGTAACTTCGAACAGTCACTAAGCGAACTGTTGTAAGTCGAGGACTACCTGTACTTCATCACTTTTTTCCTTTTTTTGTCAAGTTTTTGACACCTTGCTAGGCGACCTAAAAGTGGTACAATGGGTGAAAAGGTTGAAAAGCCCTGCCCTAGAAATTGGGGGTGGGAGCAGTGACCTTTAAGCCTTTGTGCAAGAGTAATTTTAGAGCCAAATTTTGTACACAATTGTTTATTGTGAAATCATTCTTTGGACTCACAACTAGATCAGGAGCAAGACATTCTATCTCAATGCAGTTTTGTGATTTTTGAGAACAAGCTATGGACAGTCTCACAAAATAGCCATTATGAGCTCTTTTTATAGAAAGTTGTAATGCCTTGAGTTGTTAAATGTCTATGGAGATTCTCAGTCATACAGATTATGACTGTCCCAAAGCTGTTTTTTTTCAAAAGTAAACTGGACTTTGTTTCTTCCTGGAAGATGTTTTGCTTCTCATCCAAGAAGCTTTTTCAGTTCTGAAGAAGAAACTTTTTCAGTTCTGAAGAAGAACTGAAGAAGCTTCTTGGATGAGAAGCGAAACGTCTTCAAGGAAGAAACAAAGTGCAGTTACCTTTTGAAAAAAAACAGCTTTGGGACCCTAAGTTGCTACTAACTCTTGATTTTATAGATAAGGTCAACCACCTCAACTGGGCAAAAGATTCCATGTATTAGAGTACTGCCAACACCATAAGACAGCTTTTGGATGGAGACTGTCAACCATTCTTGGTCTTTGGGTGGAGGCTGTCAACTACTCTGGTGTCCCAGATGATCACCTTCTCCACTAGATATACATGCAGGAAGACAGTACCTCAGCCATGCTCCGGAAGATGGGATGATTGATGTCACAAGTGGTATTCCTCACAAGAGCTTCCTCTGCAGCAGGAACAGAGGTGCATTTAATGACCACATATTTTCTGTTGGACTGAGGAGAATAGGACATGATAATGAATATCACGGTTGGTAGACAGTATCGTCTTTGGCCATTCCCCAGCCCTTCCACTCTGGTGTCTCTGATTTCTTTATACTTACCCGCACTAGTAAAAACCTGCGGTAGGACAGTGAAGACGGGTAGATGAAAGTCAACTTGGTGCTGTAGGAATCCTCTCCGTCATTCCGGATGAAAACAGTAGCATTGAGTTCAGGGGTTAGGCCAACTACCAATTCATTCAAGCTGAAGGAAAGACGAAGACAATCCTTGTCAATCTTAAAAACATGAAAGCTTAAAGTAAAATCCCGTCTGGAAGCCTCTCCTTTAACTTGGAGAAACCTACCTCAGATATATAGAGGCTTTCTAAAGAAGAAGAAGTATTGTGAACATGGTTTACAGGTTCAGGGTTTTTTTTATAATGGCTTTAGATCTTCCATGGACAGTGTGCATTGAAGGCTACTCATACTTTGTCCAATAAAGCTTGGAGAGATTTTATGAAGAGGTGGTTCCAACGAGGTACACAACAGTTGTCTTAACGCATCTAAAAAGGACCTGTCATGACTGCAGTGTCAGAGAAGAGCATTGAGCTTGGAGCTTGAGACTGGATCAGGGATTGGTGGCTGGATAAGAACCAGTTGGAGTAGTGGTTAAAGTACTGGACTAAAAACCAGAAGACGGTGAGTTGTACGTCTTCCTTAGGCATGTAATCCAGTCTCTCTCAACACAACCCACCTAACAGGATTGTTGTTGTAGGGAAAATAGGACTAGTAGGTATGTTCACCATCTTGAGTTATTTATAAAAAAGCAGGATAAAATGAGAGTAACTGTGGTTGAAAAGAAGAAAATGTGGATAACTGACATGGTAGTACCAGGAGACCATAGAACAGCAGACAAAGAACTGGAGAAGATCACAAAGTATCAAGATTTGAACACTGAAATTGGAAGATTATGGCATAAACTGGCCGGGGTGTCCAGTGGTTATTGGCACATTGAGTGCCATACCAAAAATCTTAAAAGGTATTTAAAAAAATCTGCTCCTTGATAAAATTTTTATTTGTCAATTATAAAAGGCTACATTGCTTGGATCTGCCTATATACTACACAAATACATTACAACATGCTACGTTCTGGGAAGAACTTCATGCGTATGAAGGCCAAAGAACTGGCAGGAATACATGGATTCACTTAACAACTGCAGTGTTCACTTAATGACTGCCACATTTTGCTTAACAACGGCCACGTTCGCTTAACGACCGTGGTAAAACAAAGTTGCAAAATTGGGCCTAATCGTGCAGATGTCTCAACTTATAACCGTCATGACTTACGACAGAAATTCCAGGCTCTATTACGGTTGCAAGACTAAAACTACCAGTAATTATATAAATATTGAACACCTAAATGTAACTGTTTAACAATAAACATTGAGTTCATTGACTTAGATCAGTTTTTAGCAAGCATGAATGAATTCTGTTGAACTCTGCGGTTGCTATAAAGATGAAAGGCATACTCTACCCTGAGAAATTGAAGGATGTTTTTAACTGGTCTTTACAGATTCCATCTTTGCCGCAGTCCTTCTCAAAGGGTAGCTATGAGGACATAAGGGAAGGAGGGAGAGAAAATATCAGTCTCCATGAACAGGTGAGACAAGGGATAAAATACTAGAAAGCAACCTTGGCAACTTTAAGACCTGTGGACTTCAACTCCCAGAATTCCACAGCCCATGCTGGCTGTGGAATTCTGGGAGTTGAAGTCCACAGGTCTTAAAGTTGCCCAAGTTGGGAAGCCCTGTAATAGAGGTTGAATTTATACAACGTGCCTTTTAATTCCAACCCTTTCTTTGTAGACGTTGATACCGCATTTATTTATCATCATGTTCATATCACCGCCTGTGGAAGCTTGGTTTACACAGAGCATTGATTCTCGATTTAATTCTGAAAATCTTGGACTCAACCCTTCAGGGGCAGAACCCACTGGGTCACACCTGTCAGCCAATTGGATTCCATGATGGACTTGCATCAAGGTTATTTGAGGGACCTCCTCTTCCAGATTATATCTGCTGGTTCCATCAGATCCAGCAGATGGCATGTTATGGTCCTTCCTCCAGTAGAAGAGATGTGCTATGGGTCCTATTACTACTATGAATCTGCTAAATTGCTACTATCTGGCATGACCCTGAAGATGGGCCTTTTCTGCTATGGCACTCGCCTTAAGGGATATCATCCAAGTCCCTTAGATCAGGGCTTTTCAATCTTTTCACCCATTGTACCACTTTTAGGATATGGCAATATCCGAGTATCACCAGTCGCCTAGCAAGGTGTCAAAAACTTGATGACCTCCCCCCAAAAAGGAAAAAAATGATAAAGTACAGGTAGTCCTCGACTTACAACAGTTCGCTTAGTTACAATGGCATTGAGAAACGTGCCCCCCAAGCCACAGCCAAGCAAGACACCTGTCTGCCCACCCGGCCGCACTCTTCCTCCTGTCCGAGGTTTTCATTGTTGTGAGCATTTCTGTTGAAGATTGGCAGCGGGGGTGAGATGGGGGGTGTTTGGTTTGTATTCCCCCCGTCGGATGGGTGGTTGCAGCAGGTTTTGGTCACTTCACATGACCCTGGGACACTGTGACCGTCATAAATATGAATCAGTTGCCAAATATCTGAATGTAAATCACAAGACCCTGGAGATGCTGCAACATTCCAGCTGATTGGTGCTTCTTCAGGGCTCAGCAGAAGCACCAGGATCAGCGCCGAGCTCCAGCTGGAGGCTGGCGCTGATCCTGGTGCTTCCACTGAGCCCTGACAGTCCCGAAGAAGCGCTGATCCTGGCGCTTCCGCTGAGCCCTGACAGCCCTGCAGCTCCAGCCATGTCTCACTCAGACTTGTGCGGTGCTGCCACTGGTTCAGCTCATTCCCCTCCCCTGCTACCACTTTTCTAGGATGGTCGCATACCACCTACCAGGTGCCAATGTACCACAGGTGGTACCCATACCACTGGTTGAAAAGCCCTGCCTTAGATGAGGCTGGGCCTAACTTTCGGTAAGTCCTTCAAAACATGGCAATGTCATCAAACCTGTGAGCCCCAAGGGAAGGGTGAATTGTTGGCATGACCCTATTGTTTCCATCTGTTGCTCTCTCCTTGCCTCTTAATTATAACATTAATATTTTCAATTGTTCCTTGTTTTTATATAATTTATTTTTTATTCTTTGCTGCCCAGAGTCACATTTTCTGAGAGGGGCAGCTATACAAATACAATGAAAAAAATAAATAAATGTTAAATTAAACTCAGTCAATTGACTAGCTGAGCTTTTATGACCAGAGACCCCTTTCACATGACAAACAAACAAACTTGGTGTTTCTAAGGTAGAACTTCCAGCAGGACCATTGTTGATGGAAAGGATTTGCAGAAGCTAGTAGAAGGACTTGTCAGAACCCTGTTCCCCGTTGTCAGCTCTATAAGCTGGACCAGACTAAGAAACAGACACTGAACAGACCCAAAACTACAGTTATTAGAATAGCTGTGGCAACCAAGTCTTGCACCTTTGAATGAACTTCCCTTCCTCCCTATTTTATCTTCATGAGAACTAGCAGAGGGGGGGTTGTCTCAGCGTTTTTGTAAAAACATTTTTGTAGTCTGAGCTCAAGCTTCGTTTATTTGATCACTTATTTTATCGATTTATCAAATTTATGCTGCCATCCATCTCAGCAGAAGATGGTGAGATGCCACTGCCTTAATAGACAATCTTCCCTCTGTCCTCCAAGGCCATTCTCTATACCAGGGCTTTTCAACCAGTGGTACGGGTACCACCTGTGGTACATTGGCACCTTGCAGGTGGTACGCGACCATCCTAGAAAAGTGGTAGCGGGGGAGGGGAATGAGCTGAACCGGTGGCAGCACCGCACAAGCCTGAGCGAGAGATGCCTGGAGCTGCAGGGCTGTTAGGGCTCAGCGGAAGCACCAGGATCAGCGCCAGCCTCCAGCTGGAGCTCAGCGCTGATCCTGGTGCTTCTGCTGAGCCCAGAAGAAGCGCCAATCAGCTGGAATGTTGCAGCATCTCCAGGGTCTTGTGATTTACATTCAGATGCTTGGCAACTGATTCATATTTATGACGGTCACAGTGTCCCAGGGTCTTGTGAAGTGACCAAAACCTGCTGCAACCACCCATCCGACGGGGAGAATAAAAACCAACCCCCCCACCCCACCCCTGTTGCCAATCCTCAACAGAAATGCTCACAACAATGAAAACCTTGGACAGGAGGAAGAGCGCCGCCGTGTGGGCAGGCAGGTGTCTTGCTCGGCTGTGCTTTGGGGGCACTTTTTTCAGTGCTATTGTAACTTCGAACAGTCATTAAGCGAACTATTGTAAGTCGATGACTACCTGTACTTTATCACTTTTTTCCTTTTTTTTGTCATCAAGTTTTTGACACCTTGCTAGGCAACTGGTGGTACTCGTATATTCCCATATCCTAAAAGTGGTACAACGGGTGAAAAGGTTGAAAAGCCCTGCTTTATACTCACTACATTTTTATACTGTTCTGGGAGGCACAATGAGTACCAAAAATGATGAGTACCAAGCAGATTTTCCCCATAGGGAATAATGTAGTGAGTCATAAGACAGCCAACACTGACAATATCTAGCTTATGCGTTGAGTACCAAACAAATAATGAGTACTGGGACAACATTTTTGCATCAAAATGCATTGACTACCAAATTCAATGAGTTTCAAAGAAGCTGAGTACCGAGGTTCCACTGTATTAAGCTTCAGTTCCACACCTTTTCGGTATGAATTTGTTCAGCCAAGTGACACTACAAGAATGCACTCAGAGTATGGACTTACCGATGCCAAAAGCCGATTGGATTCACCTTTCTGCAGGACGGCCCGCAGATTGTTGGCACGTTGGATGGGCTCTCCTACCTGGGTATAATTCAGCTGCAGCATTATGGGTGTGAGGCTGTCTTCTATGCAAGTCTTTCCTCATGAGGAGACGGGGAAACAACAACAACAACAACAAAAACCTGCTTGATTTTTAAGCCAGAATAGTTTCTGTTAGGAATAATAGGAGCAAACTATGAGAAAGATTGTATATACTTAATTTTACATGTACTAACTGCAGCAAGAATTGTATTTGCCCAATATTGGAAAAATGAAAACCTACCAACGGAAGAAGAACTAATTAAGAAAATTTTAGATTGTGCAGAAATGGACAGATTGACTTTAAAGATAAAAGAGAAACAAGACTCAATGTACTTTAGAACAAGGCTCTCCAACCTTGGCAACTTTAAGACTTGTGGACTTCAACTCCCAGAATTCCTCAGCCAGCTTGGAATTCTGGGAGTTAAAGTCCACAAGTCTTAAAGTTGCCAAGATTGGGGACCTCTGCTTTAGAACATGGGATAATTTTTATCAACGGCTAGAGAAACAAGTTAGAGAAAAAGGAACGTGATATGTACTACTGTAACATTGAATATATACTAGTAACAAGAAGACTATTGATAATACAGAAATTAATTATTATTCATTGTTTTTTAAATACATGAACCCAGACAACATGCTGTTTGCTAAATATTAAAAATGTTGTTTTTATAACAACATATATAAACCTGCTTGATTTCATGGCAGCATCTTATGTTTCACGTTAAAGATCAGATATTTTTTTAAAAAACTGTTTCTGATGTGAATCCTGCCCATCCCACCCCCTCCAAAACCTCTTCTCTCACCGGTAATTTTATACGGTACTGCCTGGATTCTGGCCTCACACCTATCTTCATCTCTTCTGTGATGGTAGACAAGCTCGAGCCCTGGTGAAAAATGGCTCGTACTTTCTGTCGACCAGGATCCAAGGTCAAAGTATACCGAATGGTGCTCGAAATGTCATTGCCTGAGGGAGATTACAATCAAATTCAGAACACTTAGATTCCAAGATCATCCCTGATATATAGTACAACTTCTCTTACAAGAGGCCTAGAGCAGGGGTCCCCAACCATGCTGGGTGAGGAATTCTGGGAGTTGAAGTCCACAAGTCATAAAGTGACCAAGGTTGGGGACCTCTGGCCTAGAGCACAAAAGTTTGGTGAGTTACAGCTAGGAAGTCCCTACCATTGTCTTGGATTTCTCTGAGGACATTGTCTTTAGGGATGCTAGGTTTAATGACGGATTGTACTGCAATCATACCTTGGTGAATTTTCCACAATAATTTAATTTATGGGAGAACACTGCAAAAAACAGTGAACAATAATCCAGCATGAGAAAAGCACATCTTCCTTCCCCTGTCCTGACCACTTTCTACAGGGGGACAATCGAGAGCATCCTGTCATACAGCATCACAGTCTGGTTTGGAGGCATCACTGCTTCAGACAGGAAGGCGGTACAGAGAGTGGTGAGAATGGCGGAAAAGATCATTGGCAGTTCCCTCCCTCCCATCCAGGACATAGCACAGAAGCATTGCCTGAGCAGAGTCCATAAGATTATCTGGGACACTACACATCCTCTTCACGACCTGTTTTCCTTGTTACCTTCTGGGAGGAGGCTTCGTGGTATCTGTGGCAGAACATCCAGATTCAGCCAGAGTTTCATTCCATACAGCATTAACCTCGCAAACTCTCAAGCTTCCTCCTTCCGTTATATATTCAAGATGGACAATATTTAATATTTATTTGCTACGTATATGTAGGGATGTGGGTCTATACATATGTTGTTCATAGTATGTTTTGGTGTGTGTCATGTATGTGTTTCACTTTGAGAGTGGGCAACTAAATTTCATTTTTGATGTGTGCCATTGTGCCCACAGTATAAAAATGACAATAAAAGTTATCTTAGTGAAACCCTCTGAATTGATGAGATGCTGGTCAGATCTCTGGAGGCTTCCTATTGACTGACACAATTCTTAGAAGATCCCAGCATTGCCCTTCAGATACACAGAGGAGCTGTGGGGAAGAAATAATCTGAGAAACTGTTCCTTTGAAGATCTGTAAACCTACCGAAGGTAAACCGGGAGTCTCCCTGGATTTTAAAGTGGACTGTTGCCGTGCTGATTTCCCTGTTCAGCACTTCCTGGCCTTCGCACTCAAAGGCAGAGATGGGGATGGCAGTTGGGTTAAAGCTTATTCCAGTCAGCACACTGACCACAGGTCGGGATCTATGGTAGACATAAATAGGCACATACTGGAGTGAGCTATGGGAATCATTCGAGATCCATTCTGAGAAGATCTACTCGCTTGTCAGAAAATGTCATTTAGACCAGGGCTTTTCAACCTTTTCACCCATTGTACCACTTTTAGGATATGGCAATATCTGAGAACCACCAGTCGCCTAGCAAGGTGTCAAAAACTTGATGACCAAAAAAAGGAAAAAAGTGATAAAGTACAGGTAGTCCTCGACTTACAACAGTTCGCTTAGTGACTGTTCGAAGTTACAATGGCACTGAAAAAAGTGCCCCCCAAGCCACAGCCGAGCAAGACACCTACCTGCCCACCCGGCGGCGCTCTTCCTCCTGTCCGAGGTTTTCATTGTTGTGAGCATTTCTGTTGAGGATTGGCAACAGGGGTGGGGTGGTGTTTGGTTTTTATTCCCCCCCGTCTGATGAGTGGTTGCAGCAGGTTTTGGTCACTTCACATGACCCTGGGACTCTGTGACCATCATAAATATGAATCAGTTGCCAAGCATCTGAATGTAAATCACAAGACCCTGGAGATGCTGCAACATTCCAGCTGATCGGCGCTTCTTCTGGGCCCAGCGGAAGCGCCAGGATCAGTGCTGCTTTCCAGCTGATCGGCGCTTCTTCTGGGCTCAGCAGAAGCGCCAGGATCAGTGCTGCTTTCCAGCTGACTGGTGCTTCCACTGAGCCCTGACAGTCCCGAAGAAGTGCTGATCCTGGTGCTTCCACTGAGCCCTGACAGCCCTGCAGCTCCAGCCATCTCTCATTCAGGCTTGTGCGGTGCTGCCACCAATTCAGCTCATTCCCCTCCCCCGCTACCACTTTTCTAAGATGGTCGCATACCACCTACAAGGTGCCAATGTACCACAGGTGGTACCCGTACCACTGGTTGAAAAGCCCTGATTTAAACCAGGGGTCCCCAACCCCTGGTCCGTGGACCAGTACCGGGCTGTGGCATGCCAGCAACCGGTTCACACAAACAAGCAAAGCCCCATCCGTGGGATGCAGGCAGCACATAAAACCACGCACTCTCTGGTCCGTGGAAAAACTTTTCTCCATGGAACCGGTCCCTGGTGTCCAAAAGGTTGGGGACCTCTGATTTAGACTCACAAAGTACATGTAGTCCTCGAGTTATGGCTAATTGTTTAGCAACCTTTTGAAGTCATGACGGACCTCTCTGGGGATAGTTACGCCCTCGCTTTGAATTTCCAATGGTCACCAACCCCCTGTCACATGACCACACTTCACCAACTGAGCCATTTTAGAGCCTTTTGCAGAGTTCCAGAGTCACGTGACCAAATTTTACGATGGTTTTGACCAAAACTGACATTTACTTCTGGTTTTAGGCAAAAGCCCATAGCCAACAATTGGCTCATTTAATGCCCGTGGCGTTTGCTTAACAACTACCAGAGAAAAAGGTCATAAAAACAGGCTGGTCACCATCATGAGTTATGACCATGATGGGCAAGCTCCAATGCAGTCATAACTTGAAGACTACCTGTATTTCAGACACAGGCACAAACAACACAGACTCAAGGAGACATATCTTTTTTTATGATATTGTCTTTTCCTTGCATTCCAGAGGCAGGAAAATGCCTTTTTCCACTTTCCCTGCTGAGAAAAGCGTGCACGAAAATCAAAAGGATCTAGTACAGTGGTGGCGAACCTGTGGCACGCGTGCCATAGGCGACACACAGAGCCGTCCCTGTGGGCACGCGAGCCATTGCCCCAGTGGGAGGCGGGGCCAGGCTGCTCCCCGTCCCCTCTCCACATGCGCCTGTGTTCTTGCTCTCTTTCTCTCTGCACTGGGAGTCAGGGAGCAGCTGCAAGAGCTGGACAGATCCGGGCTGGATGGTGGAGGCAGCTAAGGCCTTTTCGAAGCCTCTGGAGCTCGCATCCATGGCTGCGGGGTGATTTTGCAGTGCTCCAGCGGCCCAATCCGGGCTCCGGAGGCCTGCAAAAGGCCTCTGCCCCACAGATCTAGAAAGAGCTGGCCACCTGGGCTATGGGGGCGTACGGGGGTTCTGCTCTCCCAAAAGGCCGCCAACTCCTGGCTGGCAACCTGCCCAGCGGCCCCACCCTGTCAGCGCCAAAGCGCCGCCCGCCTTGCCCGGAGCCACCCCCAGCCGCCGCCTCAGCCCCTCTACCGTGAAAGACGAGTGCGCCGCCAGGGCTGGGGCCGAGAGGAGCTGGCCACGCCCACCCAGTAGGCCATGCCCATCACGCCCAGCCAATGGGCCATGCCCATCTGGCAACCGACGATAAATAAGTGGGGTTTGGGTTGCAGTTTGGGCACTCGGTCTCTAAAAGTTTCGCCACCACTAATCTAGTAGATCAAATCTTGAAAAGTAACTTTCTGAGAGAGTACTAGATAGCACTTCATCCCATGACCCATAATGCAGCCTGAATGTCCACCTGTGCTTTTTGATCTGGGTGCCAACTTACAAAGCAAAACTCCCCAGAAATTGGTTTTGCACATGTCTGTGTGTCTTTCCATACAGATGTAGGAATTGCATTACTTTTCCACTTTAGCTAGCAAAATGTTTGGGATCAATCCTAAGCCTTCTTGTCTCTGCTGGTTGTGCCTGGTCCAATTTGTTTTCCTTTCCCTTGCCTCAATAAATTAAGGGACACCTTTAAAAGAGTTCCTTTCATTTATGGATGAGATTTTTCTCACTCCTCGTTAGAAATGGACAATTGTCTACTCTACTTCAATACTTTGAAAGGCTGCATTCATACCGATAGACTTTACATAAAACCCTGGGGAGTTATAAGATGGGTGGCTATATAAATGATTTAAAGAACAGAACAGAACGAGCACAGAGAAGAGTGACAAAGATGATTAGGGGTCTGGAGGCTAAATTATACAATGAAGAATTGAGGGAACTAGGCTTGTCTAGTCTAATAAAGAGAAGGACTAGGATGGACATGATAGCAATCTTCTAATATCTGAGAGGCTCGCACAGAGAAGAGGGAGTCAACTTATTCTCCAAAGCACCTGAAGCAGTGATGGGATTCAGCCGGTTCGCACCACTTCGGCAGAACCGGTAGCTAATTTTTTGTTGCCCAGGCCCAGAATGAACTTTCGGAAGCGGCATCCACACAGAGAACCGGTTGTTCACATAGTTGAATCCCACCACTGACCTGAAGGCAGGACAAGAAGCAATGGATAGAAACTAATCAAGGAGAGAACCAACCTAGAACTAAGGAGAAATTTCCTGACAGGGAGAACAACTAACCAATGAAATGGCTTGTCTTCAAAAAAAATTGTGGGTGCTCCATCACTGGAGGTTTTTAAGAAGAGACTGAATATCTATTTGTCAAGAGTGGTATGGGGTCTCCTGCTTGAGCAATGGGTTGGACCAGAAGACCTCCAAGGTCCCTTCCAACTCTGTTATTCTGTATTTAATAGAATAGAGTAGAGTAGAGTAGAGTAGAGTAGAGTAGAGTAGAGTAGAGTAGAGTAGAGTAGAGTAGAGTAGAGTAGAGTAGAATAGAATAGAATAGAATAGAATAGAATAGAATAGAATAGAATAGAATAGAATAGAATAGAATAGAAACCAGCCTTGCCTTAGGAGCAGCACTTGTCCATCAGCCCCAACAGCCAGATCTGGGAGTCCGTCTCCTGTAAGCTCCAACCCCCCGTCCAGAGCTTGACCAAAATACTGCATCCTGTTAGGCAGGATAGAAGCTTGAATGCGCTGCAAAGAAGAAACAGAGAGTAAGACGATAAAGAGGCAGAGGGATGAAAGGGATGTGGGCAGCTGAAGGCTCACCTGGATAAAAGCAGGGTTGAGGGATCTACTCTTCCCCTGAAAGATGTACACAGCTCCTTGATTCTCGTCCTCCAATGGTGCCCCAACAGCCACATCTGTCCACTGATCCCCAGTAATTTCCCCGGCTTCTGCTATGCTGGTTCCAAAGCGGCCCAAGGGGTGATGGGGCTCCCCTTGCAATTCGTTGCCACAGAAAAATGTTTCTCCCTGGAAGGGAAATGGGGTGAAGGAAAGGCACGTGACTTGGGCTGAAAGCATTTCCTCCAGAAGTCATCGTGCCTGGAGGAAATCAAAACCCTGAATAACAGCCCGGCATGTATTTCTGTTCATCTCCACGCCCCCCCCCCAAAGATATGGTAAAAAAAATGTTGAGATGGTGGCTGCAATGACGCAATGAAAGCTTCACAATGCACGTAAACAAAAACGGGTGTTGTTTGGCACTGCTGCAGCTGCCATCTTGTCTTTTTTGACCTTATCTTGCAGCCACTCCTGCGCTGCTGCACAGCTGAACCGCTCTATCATTCAGTTCACAGCCACAATGCTCTGTCTTTTTGATTCTCCAACAACTTGAGCTAAACGCTGGTACTTTGTCTCAGGGTTCATTGTCGCTAGACTCGGTCCTAGCTGCTTGGGAAAAAAGCTGAATGAATGAATGAATGAATGAATGATGCTTTTAAAAATTGATGCGAATCCAGTTTATATTATTCTTGAAGGTTCCAAGGCTCTAAACGCAACTCATTTCAAACTCATCAATGAAGGCGAATATACGTGTCCCAGGATAAACTTGCAGGATCCAATCTGGGTTGGTCACTGGGATCAGAGGTTTGATATTCCGAGCTTTCAAACTCGTATTGGAACTCATCCTCAGGGAACTTCTCTCTACCAGGATGTGTGCTTTGGGCTAGTCCAGTGGTGGCGAACCTTTTAGAGACCGAGTGCCCAAACTGCAACCCAAAACCCACTTATTTATTGTCGGGTGCCGGGTGGGCATGGCCCACTGGGTGAGCGTGGCTGTGGTGGTCATGGCAGACTGGGTGGGTGTGGCCAAGGTAGGCATGGTCACCTCGATGTTGCTCGTGGGGAGGGACTCCTGTGGGGGCCGAGCAGGGTTGGGGGAGATCCAGAGGTGTCTGGCAGGTGGGGTGGTGGGTAGGAGGCTCGTCCTGCAGGGTGAGGCGAGGCAGGGTGGGGGTGCCATTATCTCAGGGCAAGGCAAGGCAGGGGCCGGGGCAGCTGCTGCCTGACACCATCGGCCCCACACACAGAGGCCAGCGAGTGCATGGAGGCCGACAGTGTCTGTCAGCAGCCACAGCCTGCCAGCCCCTCGACCGGCACACTCTGGGGCTCCTCAGCCCGCCAGCAGCAGTTCAGAGAAGTGCCCACAGAGAGGGCTCTGAGTGCCGCCTGTGGCACCGTGCCATAGGTTTGCCACCACTGGGCTAGTCTATGCGTAGTATTTATGTTGTACCTGGTTGCGTGTGGTTTTTTATTTGTTAATTGGAGTATTGATAGCCGGCTATTAAGCCACTGGCTGTTGTTTCCTTGTGCTGCCAAGTCCTCGGCTCCTAAGTACCCAATAAGCTAGTGGTAAATCAGCACCTCTGTTGACTGACAAATGGCCTGTTTCCCAGGCTTCAATAATTTCCCTAGCTACCTTTGTACCTGCTTGACCAACAAACTTAGTAGCTGCAAAATTGAACGTATGTCCTTGTTCATTGCAATGTGAGGCTACCGACCACTCGCTTGAGTTCTTGCAATCAGGTGGTTAGCTTCCCCCCCCCATCTTTCCTACATAGTCACAGGGGCTCGGAAGACTAAAACTCTGGTCCCAGTGACTGAGCAAGATTGGATCCTGCAACATTCCAAACTACTGAAAAGAAAACCTAGTCCAGCCCAACCCAGCCTAGCCTCAGCCTCAGCCTCAGCCTCAGCCTCAGCCTCAGCCTCAGCCTCAGCCTCAGCCACAGCCACAACCACAACCACAGACACAGACACAGCGACAGACACAGACACAGCTCCCAGTCCCCAGTCCAGTTTTTTACTTACCTGCCTTTGGCAAACATAGACCCTTCCTCCTGCAGTGCCATCATAGTACATAGGTGCGCCAATGAGGACCAAGTCAGTATTCCCGTCTCTGTCCAAGTCCACAGCACACAGGGTAGCCCCAAAATATGAGCCAATCTGGGGGGACTTTAAAATTTCCATTTAAAAAAAATATTTGCCTAGGGCAGTGGTGGCGAACCTATGGCACGGGTGCCAGAGGTGGCACTTGGAGCCCTCTCTGTGGACACACGTGCCGTTGCCCCAGCCTCGCCTCCCCCGATGACCCCCTCCTGTCCAGCAGCCCCCCTAGAGGAGAGCCGCCCCTGAGCGTGGCCCACGCGGAGCAGCGCAGCCAAGGGCATGGCAGCCAGGCAGTGTAGACAAGACTCTGCCCTCACACCCCATTGTGCACAGTTGATGCTGCAGGGTGCAGGCAGAGGGCGTGACCGCTGCCTGGGCGATCTGTGGTGGGCTCTGGAGGTGGTGAGTGGCCCTGTGGGCAGTGGGGCAAGGGATGGAGGGCGGACTGGGGGGACAGGGGGGAGCGGGGGCGGGGCCAGTTTTTGGGCACTCGGTCTCTAAAAGGTTTGCCATCACTGGCCTAGGGTCCTCAAGTCTGACCAGTTTCCCTGCCTGATGCCCCCCTCCCTTTTTTTCCTTTATCCGCTGTGTGTCCCAGCAAAGACTCCATTGCCAGAGACAGAAAGGAAAGCAGTTTTGCACTGATGAGGTTACCTAATTTGGTAATGAAACATCTGCAAGAAAACCACCAACCTCGGAGAACACCAAGGACCCCGAAAGCAACTTGAAATTTAGCAAAGGACCCATTAGCCAGATGCTGCAGTCAAAGCTGGCAGAGTTTCTGATCCACTGAAGTATTTAAACTCTTTATGGATAGATAGTTGTTAGGTTTCCACTCAAGAATATTCAGATTTAATTGCTCCAATGTTTTAGAAAATTCATTTTGGGGAGCTCCTGTATGGCATTTAAAGTAGTTTTAAACAGAAGCTTTCTGGTTTCATGAAAGGGTATATGTTGAGAGGATCAAACTTCTCCTTAAATCTGGAGAGACTAAAAAAAGTTGAGGTTTAGTAGGTAGCCATAATGCTTTAGGATTTTATTTATCCAAATGCTTGAAATGTTTAAATAGTTTTCTGGAAT